CCTGCGGCGAGAGGCCGGCTCGCCCCGCGGCGCGGAGGCGGCGGAGGAGAGGCGGCGATGGCTGCTGCTGGAGGCGCCGCCGCCTAAGGAGAACCCTTGGACGCGGCGCAGAGCCGCCTGCGAGGAGCCCTCGCCGCCCGCGGCCGACGGCGAGCTCATCCCGCAGGAGCCAGGTGCGCGGCGGGCGGGTGGGCTCCGCTTTGGATTATTATTTAATTTGAGAGCGCGCCGGTTATTCCCCCCGCATACACACACACACACCGCCGCCCGTGCGAGCAGGAGCAGGAGGAGGGTGCCGGTGCCTGTGCCCGTGCGCGGCGCCGTGTTTATTCCCGGCAGGCGCGGCGGGAGCACGCCGGCTTTTCCACATACATGGGCAGAGGAGGAAGAGGAGCGCGGGAGGTGGGGCCTGGCCTGGCCTGGCCGCCGCCGAGGGGCGGCCAACGGGCGCCGGCGGCCGTTGGGCTTCGCCCCGCCGCGTGTGCGGCCGTTACATAAGGCGCGCGGCTGCCGTTACTCTGGGGGGTCGCCGGGAGCCCGAGGGTGGCCCTTGGGCGCTGGGTGCCAGCGCGGCCGGCCCCACTCAGCGGCACTGCCGAAATCAGGCTGCCAAGCGGCTTTTTTTTTTTTTTTTTTTTTTTTCCTTTTACTCTAAGTTTAGGAACGTTACTGATCTTGTCTGCTTTCTTATTCTTTTCTTTTCTTCTTTCTTTTTTTTTTTCTCTCTCTCTTCTCTCTCTTCCTTAACCACACGATAAGCCCAGCTGTAAAATGGGTTGCTTGCTTTGACTTTGCTCCTCAAAGTTTCACGTGTCAGAGGGTTTTGGGGCTTACAAAATCCCCCGTGTCAGAGGCCCTGTGGGGTGGTCGTGGTGTTTTCTGGCCCTTTAGCTTTGTGGATGCACATGGTGCTGACTGGGTAGATCGCTTCACAAAGCGCATAATTGAAGACCATGCTTGAAGCCACCAAGCTGTGTAATTTAGGCTAATGAAGACTTCCTAGAAGTTAGCAAATTTTCAGCATATTGTTCTCTGCTAGAAGCAAACCACTGCCCTCAAAATATATACTTGAGCTGTGTTTTCTGAGG